GTTGTGCTCCACCAGCGTTGTCTGGGTAAGCTTTTGCTCGCTTACCGCAAAGACTTCAGCCAAGCTCTTGACGAGATTTTCAGATTCTTCGCTTTTCTCTGTAATTGTCAGCAACTTCAAAAGCCTGTCTTGTCGGTCTGTAGGAGCTTCCACTGTGCGCCCCAACATGTCTCCAGAATAGGTGACAGGCTTGACTTCCACTTCTTTTGCTGGTTCGAGGATCCCTACCTCCTCACCTAGTCGGAAGTCTTTGCTCCCGCAGTGGTGTTTGTTACCGGCACATCAACTGCTTTCTCTCCACCTTCCCATACGACATCAGAAAATGAGTGTTCTTTAGACCAGAAAATCCTACTTGAATGAGGTCTTTGCATTAAAGAGGTACCGATCTTGACTGTCCTGGAGGTATGCACACCCTTTTCGCAGCAGTAACTGAGAGAGAACAGGGTGGTTCACTCCTCCGACATCTTGCTTCCTTTCCCCGTTCGCATATCGGAGTGTCCTCTCCTACCGTGTCCCGAGGTAGCGCCACAGGTTCTGAGCAGTTTCGGAATGTGGTCATATCCAAGTGGTCGCTTTCCATTGGTCCCAAGCACCATCATGCTGTCTTTCCCAGCCGTGATAAATGCGCGATCCGCTGCTTCTCAACTGCAACGTCAGTCTGATCGCTCATTTGAAGGACATTCTCTTGCCTGAAGCATCAAATATCTGCTTCTGCTGATCCAACGGAATTTCTTCGACGTCGGCATCCAAGCCAAAGCCGGACTCCGATGCTGCCCGGAGCACTTGCGCTGGTATAATGCTAATTTGCGAGCCAGTGTCCAACGCTGTGCTTGAAGTGCCTAGAAGATGGACTTCCGTGGTCATTTGTTCTCCGACCAATTCGCACTTGTTGTCGTCCTCTACTGCTCCACATATCCGTTTCCTCAAGGACGCGGTAAAAATTCTTGCCGGCTGTGCTTGCTGAGCCGATTCACTAACCTTTTGAGTAGCAGTAGCTGTCTTCTTCGGCATCGTGCAGTTCTTTCTCAGATGTCCTTGTCCTTGTTACAGTTGAAACACTTTTCGGGGGGTCTCCGCTGATCCATTGCATCGCGGATATCGAGCTTACTGCTTGCACCTTGCAGTGTGTTCACAGTGTAAAAAACTTGCCAAGCATCGCGATTGCGATCGCCTTAACGTATCCTACCATCCTGGCTCTTGACCTTCTGGCATTTCGCATTGCAGCTGCTACTTGCTTACTTCTTTCACATCTTTGTGCTATGGCTTTCACCATGTCATACGATTGCTTCTTTGGAGCTATCTCCATCGTCAACTGGAGGCATTCGGGCCAATCGGTTAGCTGGCTTCCCCTGCCCTTATACGGGACAGTTCTTCTTCTGATGCATCTCGATAGGCTTCTCTTTACAGCCTTTCCAGACAGAACTGTTACGCCTCCATGTTTCTTAAGGTCTTTCAGATCCAAATACACCTTCTTCTGCATCGGCGAGTTGTCCACATTGAACTCTGCTCGCAGGGCTTCCACAACGTTGTCAAGGTTCCCTTCTCTCACTAGCTTCGGTAGGGATTTGGCTACCGCTTTTGGTTAGCCTTCCAATTTAGAGAGCAGCAGTTGGGTGAGCAGGTTATACCGTAACCCAAGGCTCTGGTATTTCATCGTGAACCTCATAGTAAACTCGTCAATTCCTTTTCCCTGAGGGTCACTATACACTTCCACTTCGGGTAGGGTCATAGCCGCAAATATGGACGCCATACCATTTTCGGAGTGGAAAGACTCACCTCTTCGGCACCGAATCGACGACGATTGACAGAGTCCCTAGTCCTCGGCCTCCACTTGGTCGTCCTTCATTGGTGCAAATACGTATTCTCAACCTTTCTTCTGAGACTTGTAGACTTTCTGCCAAGCCGAAGGTTCTTGACCTGCGCCGCCGCTACTGGATCGAAATCCAGACGGTATTCGATGTTATCGTAGTCGCCGAGATTCAGTTGTTCGTATACGATCGGCGGAGCATTATTACTGCTGTTCCCCTGCAGCCTGACGAGGTTCCTGCAGGAAAACAGCATCAGAATGCTCAACAGCACAACCAACCTTCCTCCGTCAGGCTTGTGCTGCTCCTTCGCTGTTAGTGATACGTAAGTTTTCCACGCCCTTGCACTTAATACACCCGAAAGCGTTTCAGAGACCGCGGCTTTGAGTGATCGGATTTCGACTTCTCCCTCCTTGAGGTTCTCCAGCTCTCAATGAGAAAACACTCCTCATTATCCTCCTCGAGCTTGCTGTCTTCTCGAGCTGTTTAGTCGACCTCGTCGAAACTCCCTGCACTAATTCAGCCGGAATCTCGCAAAGAGTTCTCAGTGTCTTTGCGATAGCTTCTTTTGAATCGTGCATCTGTTGGGTGTCTTTAGCTGTTAGACTATCCATCCTTCTCCTCCGGTTCTCCAACGATTTCTTCATCAGCAAAAGCTGCTCTGCTGTGGTTGGGTTGCCCAGCAGCATCGACTCCAGTTCAGCTCGACTCAACTCTGCTTATTCTGTCATCTCACTATCTGCAGCTGTCGACGTTTACTCACTGTATCGACTGTGTATTGCCACGCTTCGGACAGGACCGCGAATCGTTTTCGCTTACGGTGCGCACTCCCTGACCAAAATAACGGCTCCGACACGGATTACCACGTGACGGATCCTGTCTACAGTCAGGGGTACACTGCCTCACAGCGGCAGGACACTCGCACCTTAGCTGGTCTAGAAGGCCTGGCAGGCGCCAGTCCTGCCGCTCGCGAGTCCAGTTCAATATCCGAACCGAAAGTCGATTTAGTTTGGTTCGGTCCCCAAGTCACGGGTGCTGCTCCGGGTTGAGGGCAGACTCCATGGGTTGGAAGGCGAAGTAGACAACGACTGATACAAGTGTTTATTATATCAGTAGTGTCGGACACTTCTCTCTAGCTGACGCTAGCTTAGACTGAATCTTCATAGCTATAGTCGCCCCTCATATAGGGCTCGAAGGGGCGGAACCGGAAGCGCCACTGGTTATTGGTCCTTTCAGAAGGATGATGTCACACGGCGGGAGTCAGGCATCGACTGCCTGGGCCTGCGACTCGCCTATCGATCGGTTCGGCTGATGTCCCTAGGAATTGAGAGTTGAGATGAAGAGAGAAGAGAAAGACAAAAATTTTGAGAGTAAAAAGGCACAATATCATAACAGGAGAAAATTGAACTAACACCTGGAAAAAATCGCAAAAATACTCTATTACAGAAACAACAAAAGATCCTTACCCTAATGTACTTTATAAAGGCAATAAAACAACTAATTTTTCAAAAAGATATAGAATACAGTGAAAACTAGGGAGAAAATGCTCAAATTAGGCTGGAAACCACTGATCGCCGCTGTCATGAAGCGGCGCGGCCGCCTTGCGACCCTTGGTCGTCTAATCAAGTGCCCATATGACGACTGTAATTGGCAGTGGCGACTCCGTCATCGAAATATTGCTAACGATCGCGCTCCACCGCCTGTCGTTTGTCCGGAAACGGTACGTGAAGTCATATTCTGAATGTGTTTCAACTAATTATAAACGGTGGAGGCGCGATTCTCAAAACAAGTGAGTCGTTAAAGATACAACGCATGCTTAGCTGCAAGGTGCGTCCTTGGCATATCCGAGACGGGCCCTCAGCTGTCGGAGCGTAGCAATCTCCCCTTCAGAACATGCGCGAGGATGGAGATCTAGGACCGTGAGGTTGGGACTACACGAGGTCACCACAGCCATTTTATGCCTCGCCGCGTGCGGCGACAACCAGCTAACTGGATCCATATCTATATCTAACTATACAGCCGTGCGAGTAGGATCCTTCTCCCTTCACGCCAAATCGCCAGAGGATCGACTGGATGCCAATATTCCTGTTTGTATTCCTTCAACTTCTTCTTCTTCTTCTTCTTCCTAACGTTGTCCCGCTTGTAGAGTCCATTCTTCTGATCGGAAGTCGCCTTTTTGCTCGATCTAGTACATCTCCTTTAGAGAGGTTGACAATTCTCAAGTCCGCATTTATGGTGTCCTGTCAGCGTTGTTTTGGTCTTCCTTTCGGCCGGTGAACGTCTACTTCAAATCGATGTGCAATAGAAGCGACGTATCACGCTCAGCTCGCAAAACGTGGCCACTGTAGTCGTCTCTCTTGCATCTTCTCAACGATTGGTGCGACACCCATCTGGCACCAGATCACATGATTACTGATTCTATCGAGGCGTGAAATGCCCATTGACAGTCGCAGCATGCGCATCTCCATGGCGTGGAGTTTGCGCTCGGCACATCTGGTTGCTGGCAAGCATTCGGATCCGTGCAGTGCCACGGGTCGAACAATGGTCCGGTATATCTTTGACTTGAGGCGAAGAGGCATGTCGCTATCACATAGCACCCCACTGACTTCTCTCCATCTCACCCATGCCGCGTTGACTCATTCGAACATCATCATCAACACCACCTCCGTTTTGCAGGCAGGACCCTAGGTACCTGAAAGACATCGTTTTCGGTAAGTCTTTGCCTTTGGCTTGAATCGTGCCTTCGCTAGGATCCGCCTCTAAGAATTCCGTCTTCCTGTTGTTGAGGCAAAGGCCATACTGGCTTAGACGGTCATTCCATGCTTACACCTGACGCTGCGATTCCTCTCTACTGACATCCGCTAGAAGAACATCGGCAGCATAGAGCAAAGTCCATGGTGCATCGTGTTGCAGATCTCGTGTGAGTGTGTCCATGATGAGGATAAACAGCAATGGCGAGAGTACCGAACCTTGGTGAACTCCAACCTTTATTGGAAAGCTCTTGGATAAACTCGCAACACATCGTACTCGACTGGTGGTGTTTACAGGGTTGGCCATAATTATAGCGACAAGACTTGCTGCAGTTAGCGTAAATTCTATCGCGCACATAGCGCGCCAGTTTTATGGATTTTTCAATCTCATCATTTTTTCTAACTCCTGTTAAAATTTGGTTAAATTTGGTCCATTCATAGTGAAATGGTAAAGCCTTCTCCTGATCGTTCCGCTATCGTTCGTCTGCACAAAGCCGGCCGCCCACCCGCCACGATCGCTAAGCATCTCAGCATTCACCGCAGCGTCGTGTATCGCACACTCCAACGTTATCGAGACCTTGGTGGACTCCAAGACCACCGAAGAAGTGGAAGACCTCGTACTGCTCGCACGCCGACGGTCGTCGAGGCCGTCAGAAAGCGGATAGCAAGAAACGCGACTCGGAGCATCTTGACGATGGCTCGCGACATGGGAATCTCGCGGAAGTTAATGGAAAGGGTCGTCCACGAAGACCTTAAGATGTACCCCTACCGTACTCTGAAGGCTGCTATCCTCCTCGAATCAGCAGGCGCGAGTCAAGAAGTGCAGCTTTTGCTTCGGACGCGCAACAAGGGCCACCATTCGATCGTCTTTTCGGATGAGAGGCTCTTCACCGTCGAGCAGCAGTTCAACGCTCAGAACGTCAGAGTCGGCGCCCGCCCACAAGGCTAAGGTCGTCCAAGCGTGGTGCAAGAGCGAACTCCCCGACTTCATCTCGGCAGAAGAATGGCCGGCATCGTCACCGGATTTGAACCCACTAAACTATAACTTGTGGTCCTACCTTGAGAGCAAGTCCTGCACCACTCCCCACCCCAATTTGGATTCTCTAAAGGCAGCGCTCATCCAAGAGTGGGACGAAATCGACGACGCACTCCTGCGTCCGGTCATCGACGCCTTTCCCAAGCTACTCCGCGCTGTCGTCCGTGCCAAAGGTGGCCGAATCGAGGAGTAACTTATGACTGATAATGTACCAGTTGTTACTTAATAAATGTTATGTTCATGGCTAGTTTGCACTTTTGCTTTCTGAGATATAAGGTGAAAACCTTGTCGCTATATTTATGGCCAACCCTGTATATACAGCATTCGAATCCAGCTGATAGTGCCCCCTGATAGTGCCCTCTCGAGGTCTAAGAAAGCCACATGAAGTGGTTTCCTGTTTTTTCCGATGCTTCTTTATGAGAGAGCAAGCGACAAATATTGCATCCGTTGTTCCTCATCCTTTCACAAAGCCGTACTGGTTGTTGTTCAAATCAATCATGTCGCGTGACCACTGATCAAGGATTCGCTCGAAGACCTTCATGGCGTGCGAAAGTAAGCGAATGGGCTGGTAATTGGAGCATTCGGCCGGGTCCTTTGTTTTTGAAGATGGGCACAGTAACACTCGTAGTCCATTCACTAGGTGCACGGCCTGAATCAACGGCTGCATTGAGGAATTGTGTGAGCCATAATACCTTCCTGTCGTAGCTCCTTAATTTTCCAGACCTCTGCCGGTATGTTATCCGGTCCTGGCGCTTTTTGGTTATTCATGCTGTCGATCGCCTTGGTAACCTCCTCGACGGTGATAGGCTGTACGAGACCGGTGGTTAGCAGACCTTCTCGAATTGGCGGGTGTGCGAACTCCACGTTGGACATTTTGTTAAAATGTTGCCACCAGCGAGGCAGTATCTTTCGTCTACTCTGCAGCCGCTCTCCATTCAAGTCTTTCACGCACATACAGTGCTCAACGTCCTTCGCTGCCTGGGCGCGTCCTTTCGCCAATCTGTAGATGTTTTTCTCACCCTCCTTGGTGCCTAGCTGCTCCTGTAGGCCCCGAAAATGATCTGCTTTTAGTTTAGCCACGGGTCTCTTCGCCTGTCGTCTAGCGGTAGTGCACTTTCTCCAGTTTTCGGCAGTACTATGGGTGAGCCAGGTTTTGTATGCATTTTCCATTACTTTGTGCTTCACTTCGGCCGTCCACAGCCACGTTTGTTTGTCAATATGTCGACCAGGTTTCGTAATTTCTAGAGCCGACTTAGCAGCAGTTGTAACGGATCCGTTGAACGTTGCCCACAAGTCGTTGACCGGCCTGCCATCGACTGGAGGTAAGCTGCATGCACGGGCAATTGCTGCCTCCTTGCCCTGCAGTTTTCACCGCTTGATTCGCTCTAGCCCCATAGACCGACCGGTGTCGCTTCTACGCTCGGTAATCTTCGTATCAACGAGCATCTTGTGCTGTGGTGCCAGGCAGTCCGACGGGATCATCTTTGCATCACTGATAGCAGGAAGATCTCGCCTGCGTACCAACACGAAGTCTATTTGACTTTTCTGCCCACCGCTTGCGTAGCTTTCGCGCTTCTTTAAGGATGTGTTACAGATAGAGCCTCAGCAAATTCCAAGATACGTCGTCCATCTTTGTTGCGTGTCCCGTATCCGTTGTTGCCACAGCTATAGCCACTCTGAGCGTTATCAACATGGTCATTTAGGTCGCCACAAAGTAGGACCACTTCGCTCTCGGGGACTGCTGCAATATGATTCTGTAGTTCAATCCAACATCGCTCCTTTTCCACTTCACATCCGCTTTGTGGGGCGTAGCCTGAAAACACACAAAGACGGCGGGTTGCTAAGTCGATTACAGCAGATATGAGTATATCTAAATGACGTCTTATTTCTGCGACTTGGCTTCGCAGCTCCGTACTAACGATAACGGCCACGCCTTTGCTGTTGGTCTCGCCATAGTAGCTCAGCTTGTAAGCTTCGCCAGTGTCGCGGGACCTTTATCTCTTCCACCGCGTCTCCTGAATGCAAGCTATGGCCACTCTGCGCCGCTTCAACATTTCGGCCAGTTCGCTGCTGCGTCCTGTAAGTGTGCAAACGTTCAACGTAGCAATGCACAGCTGCACATGGGCTATCTTTTTTAGCCAGTTCCGCCCTTGAACCGGTATCCCTCGTCGTCGGTTGTCCGGGAAGTTTTGAGAAAATTTCACACTTTTCGGTTTCAAGAAGTGTAGCAGGCGAATGTATAAGGTTGTCCGGAAAGTTCTGCACGTTTCGAGTGTTTCACTTTAAACGATCATAACTTTCTAACACCCATCGGATTCCATCCAAATAAGCACCATTCGAAACAGCACACTTTTGCCAATGTGATAGTTGTCGAGAAATCCCATCAAAGAAAAAAAAACTGGGTGGTCGAGAGTAAATGAAACCCACGAAGGCTTTTTGCCTGGTCCTGATTGATGAAGTATTTTCCAGCGAGGGGGTTCTGAAAATGTTTGAAAAGGTGATAGTCGATTGACGAAAGGTCTGAAGAATATGGCGGCTGAGGTAGAACTTCAACCCCCAATTCGTTCAATTTATGGATAGTGATTTGTGAAACGTGTGGGCGGGCGTTGTCATGCAAAAGAATCGGCCCCTCTTTTGATAAGTGTTGGCTGCAGCTGACAAATTTTCGGTACATTTCGTCGACTGCTTAATAGTAGGACTCTGCTCTGATGGTTTGGCCTGGTGACAAAAAGTTATAGTGGATCAGAACAGCCGATGACCACCACATAACCATAATCTCTTTTTCGTGTGGACTCGGCTTTGGAAATTGCCTCGTTGGTTCGTCAGAATCCAACAAATGTCCGGAACGTCTCCTGTTATCATACATGATCCTTTTTCATCACAGGTGACAATTCGGTTCAAAAACGAGTCATTTCTACTGCGCAAAAGCAGTGAAGGGGAAAGCGCGAAACGTAAACGTGCGAATTTCCGCCGGTCACTCAAATTGTGGCACCCACACGTCGAAATTTTTCACCTTCCCAATGCGTTTCAGACCATCTTCAACACTGTATTTGCCAACGCCTAGCTTTTCTGCAATCTCTCGAATTGTTTGGGATGGGTCATCCTCCAAAATCCCCTTAAAAACCTCGTCATATTGCTTTAGGTCGACCGCTATGAAATTCATCTTCAAGGCTGAAATCTCCAAAAAGGAAATTTGGTTAACCATTGAAGCACAGTGCTTTCTCTAGCACTATTGGGCCCCCACACCTAATAAATTTGTTGAGCTGTTTCGCTTGCGGATTGCCCCGATTTAGTCGAAGAAAAAAATCGTCTGAAGTGCTCTTTTCACATACTCGAAAAAATCTTGAAAAAAGGGGGTTCATCAAGCAAGGTGAAGCAGCAGTAATACCATCAGATAGCGCAAAGAATTCTCTTCAGGATGTACTACTGAAACGCAAGGGAGAGTGAGTTTTTAGTCAGCAAGGGATGTTCAAAAAATAGTAACAAAACGTGCAGAACTTTCCGGATAACCTAATACCAACACAAAGTCATATATCAAGTGCTATGAGAAAGAAAAATCTCTGTAGATCAATACAATGCTGGTTGTTATTATAATATTCTCCATTGTTGGTATGACATTGACATTGATTTGACATTACCTGATAAATAAAGCGCGCACGACTCCCAACGCCTTTTACTTCATCTTCACCGTTCTTGCTCCTCTATCGGTAAAATCGGGAACGAGGAACCGCCTCCGATGCTAGATAAAATGCGTTTCTCAGCCGAAAAGTACGACCTCCTACGTGTTTCACACAACGATGCTGTACCCTGGCTAGCATTGAAGAAAAACTACTATACTGTCTCTGCAATCTTCCTCGAAAGCCGCGCATTTCCACTAAACATAAAACTAAAAACGGCTTGAGCGTCCTACTGGTGGATTCAAAGACTTCTTATGGCTTTGGAGCCGGCATCGCTCAGGATATGCTAGCGGCGTGGCACAAGTTGCATTTAATGCGGAGTATGGAACAATTTGCCTATCCCACGGTCCTGGATCCTCATCCCCGCGCATTTTCGGACAGGAAAACCGCTATGCTTCGACCGCTGGGGGCCCGTCAGCTCCGGACATGCCGAGGACGCATCTTGCAGCTGAGCCTGCGTTGTGCCTTTGAGTATGAACGCAGCCTAACACACTGAACTTTTCGGGAAGCAAGTATGCGACATATTTGGCAAGATTTTACCTAAATATATTTAATGGTCTAACACATTCCACTTCCTTCATATCACAAGATATGTTTTGAAGTTTCTTTGCCCGCAGCTACTGCAGAAGACACCGACGCCTAAAGTGTAGTCAACTTGGAAAAAAAAATGTTGACATCCAAAAAGTTTCACGCTTTCCTCTGGACTTACAGCTATAGCAGTAGCTACAGTAGACGATGCAGAAGACTGAAATAATTTTTTCAGTAAATAAAGACGCAAAGTTAATGCGCAGAGGAAGACGCTCGCAAGTCAGTCTTGAAAACGTTTATCAAATGGAAAAAGAAAAAAATAAAAAATAAAAAAAAATCAAAAAATCGAAAAAAAAATACAAAAATACGAAAAATAATCTGCTGGGCTCAGAGGGAGGTGATAGGTCGCGCTCACTCATGTGAATCAATCAAGTGTTACAAAAGTACTAACTCTGTGTGTTATGTACGAGAGCGAGAGGCCAACTTCAGGAAAAAACCCTTACTATTCTATTCCATCCTATTCTCTCCCTCAGGTGAGTTCAAGATACTCTGCAAATCCTATACTCTAAATCCTGAGATCGAGTACGCGTGGCTGCATTCTTCAGCTTAAGCTGAATGTATTGCTTCTGGTGGTGTCGCGGATGCGACGGTCGCCGTTGTTCGCCCCTCGCGCATTGGCCCATCCGGTTCCCACGGCGTGCACTTCAC